AAATTTGCTTCTAAGGTTTATAAAATACTACAAAAAAAACTTAAGTCTTCCACTCCATCACCTGAAATAAAGTTAGGTGTGAATTATGATGAACAAATAATGGGGGATACATCCGATGTACAAATATTTCGTGTACATTCGATGTACTGCTAGTCACGGCGTAAATGAAAACAAACAAGACGCATTCACACAAACACCTCCCACCTCAGCAATTACAAATCAAAATGTTGTCCCCGATACGCGAGTAAATAAAGTTGTATCTGCGTAAAATTCTTCTCTTTATCCACTCTCTTACTTCTCACCTTTCGTCTTCTCATCGCGGACCAACAAATAGAGTGTTATGATTGTCGACTTAGGTCCGTATTTATAAACAAAACTCAGCTGAGTCGGACTTGGGTAAGTCGTCCTTGAACTAAAATCGAAGTTCGGTTACAACGTCTCTAAAGTTCCAGGTGCTTCCGGTGTTACACTGGAATTTAGAGATGGATATTAGCAAATATATACACACATCGCCAAAGGTATTAACTCGCCTGTGCATGGAAACAATAAGGGTGTTAATGTAATCCATTGGGATGTTGTTCCATTCTTCTTGGACCGCGACTGTGAGTTCCTAGAGGGTGATAGGAGGATTAATTCTGTTTGAGATTGCTTTTCCAACGAAATCCCACATGTGCTCAATGGGATTCATATCTGGCGAATTTGCTAGCCACGATAATCTTTGAATATTCTGAATTTCTAATGCATTTTGTAGTCTTCTCGTGCGATGGGGCCTAGCATTGTCATCCATGAAAAAAAAAATTGGCTCCAATTTTATTTCGAAGAGGATAAATAATGGGTTCAATAATGTTTCAAACATATCTATCAGCTGTCATAGTGTCTGGAATGGGAATAAGCTGCGTATGACGACCATGCATTATGCCTCCCCAAAACATTACTATTCCTCCTTGGTATGGAACGACTTCTCTGGCAAAAGATAGTCTTTCTGGCCTTTTCCAAACTCTGTGTCGCCGACTATCACTAATTAAACCATATCTGGATTCGTCCGAAAAAAGAACATTTCGCCACTGAGCTAAAAGCCAGTCTCTGTGTTCTTGTGTCCACTGTACGAGTAGACGAGCAGCTATATGTCTAGGAAGTAACCTGGGTAATCTTAATGATCTCCTAGATCGTAAATTGGCTCCAGCAAGTCTCCGTCGTAATGTGGTACTGGAAATGATTCGACCATACGTTCTTCTAAAATGAGTTCGGACAGCTAAGACTGTTACGGTTCGATTCCGACGTATATAACCTGCTACATACCGATTTTCTCTTGGATTAGTTACCCTAGTACGCCCAGTCCCACGTCTACAGTCAACGCTGTTAGTTTCCTGGTACAAACGCCCTATTCGGATAACTGAAGCGCGGGGAATCCCTAGTCTATCTGCGATTCAATGATTCGGCAGACCCTCATCATGCAAAGCCACTATTCTTGCTCTATTGAACACTGACATTTTGTTGCCAGACATAGTTGCAAAGAAAAACTCAACAATCACTTAAAAACGCAAAATCAATATGAACCACTTTTTAAACATTGGTACCTAAAATTGTGGGAAATTGTTTTTGTAAAGATTTTTAGATGCGTATCAATGGTGAAATAAATAAAGATTAAATGTACAAACAAGCAGCCATGACAAATATTTCGTTTTAATATTTACGAGGGGGTCCAAGAATTTTGGCGATGTGTGTATATGTCGCAGGCTTATGGTAAAATCAGTCTTATTATAATACGCCTAGGCTTTTTCAATACGACTAGGCATATTATAATACTACCCAACTAATTAAGAATCTCACAATTTGACTGATCATTTCAGGCGTATTATAACAAGCCTGTCGATTGTTAGTCTTATTGTTAAATTCAACAGATGCGCAAGTGTTTTAGAATCCGACTAGATGAAATCCGTCGTTCGTATTATAATACGACTGACGATGTGCTATATAACTATTATGTACATTTACGGATTTGTTACTACCCATCTCTAAATTCACGCCATATAACCGAACTCCGATTTTCGTTCAAGGACGACTTACCCAAGTCCGACTCAGGTGAGTTCTGTTTATAAATACGGACCTTAATCTTGGCATAGTGAATATTATATTCTATCAATGAATGGCTATATCTCGGTTATCTCTGATTATAATTTATATATAAATAGGTAAAGACAAAATAATTCAGTACCATTTTTTCTTCTGTTTATGAACCGATTTCCGTTTTTCTAATTTTTGTTTAGTAGCTATTGAAGAGCTTTAGTGTAACTATAAAAATTTTGAAAATATAATTTTTTTCCAACCTTCGATATATGAAATCCATTGATCCACAATTATGGAGTATGTTCCACTAATAAAATTAGTCTATAGCGAACGTGAGCACCATTTAATTTGGAACCAACATGTACAATATTACATACCACCCCAGGGAAGGAGGTCGATATATCAAACACGAAAAAAATTTCATCCCCTCTCATCCCTAACTCCCTACCTTCTTTATGAAAAAAAAATATATATTTTCGAAATTAGACTCTAAAGTCGCACATCTTTGGTTTCGGGAGATTTTCCATTCTTCCCCCCCTACTCCCCCACCCATCGTTGTATAGAGGACCATAATCCGATTTTCGTTACTATCTCCCGCCCCCCTCATAAAAAAGTTGACAATAGATTTTATATCGGATATTAATGATTAGAACTGTATTATATTGTCTGGACGTTCTTTGAAAGGGACTATTATAACCCCTCTCCCACGTGTATGATAAGGGTGAAACATTTTTTTTATAATTCGGGTATTTTGACATTATTGGTTGTATAGATAATTAAAAGATAAGAAACATTCGACATCTTTTCCCATCCCTTTTTTTGATACCCTTTTCTACGCTATTATTGATTATTTCCAATATTTTTCATGACAGGGTGCAAGCTGAGGTCTGATATAATAGAACGATGAGGTGTACTCATGCCCCCCTTTTTCATGGGCTTCAAGAGTAACCTCAAAATAAAAATTTAAAATTAATCAGAATCAGAATGTGTTTCATAAAAATAAATTAAGGTTTTTAAATTGTGAATTACTGTTATTTTATTGAATTTATTTTTTTATTTAATTATAATAGTACTGAACTAGATTGTATTATGGGTACGTATGTATGATCTCAGATAAATGAACGAATGTATAAGAAGAAAAAAAATAGTAGAAACATACAAATTTAAAGGGTGTCTCTCAAAGGTGCGAAAAAAATACTACCACATGTATTCCTAAAGTTTAAATATAACGATCAAACCCAACTTGCCAGTTTTTTTAATGATACAAGTAAGCATAGTAAAATAATATTTTTTCCTAAAATATAGACGTTTGATTTTTATTTTTAACAGAGAATATGAAAGTGATTTATTGAAACTAATAGAAAATGTACTATAACATAATTTCTTAATAACTATCCCGAATATTATATTCTTATATTAAAAATATTTCCACATATAACTTATTTTTTTATAGATATTAGTTATTTTTCTGCACTGTAACAGTGAGAGAAAAAAATATAAAATTTAATCACAGTTGGCGGAAAACTATTTCATCTGAGACTCGAACTCGAGTCTTCCTTACGGAAGGCAAGAACGCTGATCACAGGAACACCTGCGCGTTTATTTCTTTTGCTTTAATTAAATTGACTTCATATAGTTTTATTTAAATTAACAAATTATTTATAAATATAGATGAAACAAAAATAAAAATGCTATTATTTATCGATTCTACACAAGAATTACCCATTTTAATGTATGTTTCATCTCAATAACTAAAAAATATACTGACAGTTTGACAGAATTGTCACTTATTTAAAATTTTAAAAATAATAGCAGTCAGTCGATCAAAATATGAACTGTGTTTGGTGGATTTCATTTTTTTGCAGTGTTCTCACTACCTAGAATGGATATGAAATATATTCGTTCAGTTGAAGGCAATAGCATACTTTTTCTGTGTGTAGATAAGCTAATATCCATGTGGGTGTAGAAAATAGTAGTTTGTGCCAAAAGAGTGGATAGGGTTACTGGCGGATTTAATTTTCTTGCAGTGTTCTTACTAGGTAGAATGGCATACTTTTTCGTTTTGTAGTCTGAGCGTAGAATAGCTAATATCCATGTGGGTGTAGAAAAAAATATTTTAGGTTTTGAGTTTTGCTTTCTTAATTTTAGCCATCTTTTTAATTTTGCCGCCCCTAGAATGTTACTGCCCTAGGCCAGGGCCTCGCTGACCTATGTCTAAATTCGCCACTGTGTCGGCATGGTAGCAAAACAAAAACAATCCAATACGTTATAAAAGTGTAACGAAATTTCAGCTCCACTAACAGTTAATTATAACCAAGCTTTTAACAATTTTGACATATACTTTTTTACTGTTTTTTTTTTTAAATATCGTTTGCAAGTCATAAAAAGTAGTTTAAAGGTATGTAATTGGTTGCTAAATGATTATTTACTTGAAATATATTTATAAAAGTTTAATAACAATATAATTAATGTAAACAAAACGAAAAAAACACTCAAAAAAAAATACTGTCATTGTAATTGTCAGTGGAACCGTAATTACGTCATCAATAATTTAGCCTAGGTCTTGGCTTAAAAACAATAAGTGGTTATGACTGAAAACTTGTTTTTTTATCAGATAGGTCATTTTATAAACACAGAAATTACAACCTGTTCACTAATAACGTGTCTGTTAAAAATAACATCACTTTTTTCAACATAACCCCCATAGACGTGTAAAATTATCAATAAAATGTTACAACAAATAGTTATTAACAAAACAATTATAAATCGAAAAAAAACGGCCGAAACATGGCCGCCTATGGTTAAATAATCACCTAAACCAATTAAATGCATTTATAACGTTCATCAACAATCACAAAGTTCAATATAATCAATTTACTTATTTATCATTGATTACCTATATATGTTCATGTATGTTTTTTTATCATTTCCAGATAAGCCTTGCGACATAGATGACCTTACTGTGATAGAACTACTTAACTAAACAATTTTGAAAGGATGCAGTTGTTAGTATAATCCCGAAGCTTGTCCCGTCAAAATGGCCAACGAACAAAAAAACAACGCAAACCAAGTGATCAAATTAGTGATTGAAGTGATCGGGTTTCTTTTGTATTCTTTGGCATTGATTATAGTGGCTGTATACAAAACGTGCCTACCTTCGGCTTATCAATATAGAAAAAATATTACCGGTGATATTGCGCTTGTGACAGGGGGCGGAGGAGGGCTAGGACGTTTGTTGGCCCTTAGGTTGGCCAAATTAGGAGCTACTGTTGTGTTATGGGATGTTAATGTTAAAGGTAAGTTGTTTTTTTATATACCTATAATATTATGATTTTATACCTACCGGAATTTCCCTAATTAAATATCATGCGTGTTTGAATCGTGAAAATCATTATTTTTTTAACTAATACACTAAGCAATTGACTCTTTTTCTATAAAACTTATCCCGCAAAAAGATCAATTATTCAGCATGCTGATCAAAGTTCTGTTCTTAGCACTAGCAGGTTACTAAAGAAACAATAAATAAACCAAAAATAATTTTAAAGAAAATAATAATCTATTTAGCAAGGTGGGACACTCCAACATTAAATAATTGGATATAGGATGACTTTTAAACTTTTTGGAAGTCTTTCTGACGGACACTAAACACTGACGATGCCACAATGACGAAGGCATATTGCATTTTTTAAATAAAACAATTTTGCACGATATACAGTGTGTCTACTTAAGTTGGAACCATATGGAAAAAAAAATTTATTATTGATTTTAGGAAAAAAAGTTATTCTTGATAGAAAGTCCTGCATGACGCAAAACTTAAAATACAATCATCAGATATCAAATTTTTCAAGCCGTATACGAGATTTGTCAAAAAATATGAATTTTGCTCAAGAGTAAAGTACGTTTATTTTTGACAAAATCGAAAATTTTCATTTAGAAAAGTTGATTAGAATTGAAAATTACATTCAAATATGCAATTACACCGATCTATCTGAAAAATCAGATTTTTCCTAGATTTTGCATTGATCCACCTAATTACGGTAATCCATAATTTTTTTTCTCTCTCTTCTCTACTATAAACATGATACGCTTTCTTTTTCTTTAAGTTTGTGAAGAATTTAGCAATTTTCTTAATGAAAATTTTCGATTTTGTCGAAAATAAACGTACTTTACTCTTGAGCAAAATTCATATTTTTTGACAAACCTCGTATACGGCTTGAAAAATTTGATATCTTATGACTGTATTTTAAGTTTTGGGTCATGCAGGACTTTTTATCAAGAATAACTTTTTTTCCTAAAATCAATAATAAATTTTTTTTCCATATGGTTCCAACTTAAGTAGACACACTGTATAAGTTTTCTTTGCTGATTTAAGTTACGTGCACATAGCCGTTAACCTCTTTTGGTTCCTTTAGTTAATTTTAATTTTTAATTTTTCCTCAAATTTTTCCATTACGGTTCTTTTTAAAGAAATCATGTATATAGCAAAAATTATAGAGAATAGAATGAAATCATAAACAATTCTTACTCCAAGAATGTTCTTCTCCAATTATAAATAACAGAAATATACATCTAAAGTATCCTCCCCCTTGCCAAGATGCCCCGACTATGCCCAAAATCTAATCAGAATATCACAGGCTGGATTAAGCTCAACTTTAAAATTTGGTCTTTTTATTTTTATCTGTTTTTTAATTTATCGTGGATATAGTCGCACACACAGACCTCATCGTCAAAATGATCAAAACGGATGCCCCAAAACGTGAAGATTCGTCGAAAACTCGAGTTTAAAAATAGAATTATTCCTATACTTTCCTTACTGATTATGAAAAGTAAAAATAAAGGAAAATCATTTGCATATTCAAAATAACTTCATTTTTCACTTGAACTATCTAATATATAATTTTTTAACGTTGCAATAATATTATTGTAAATCTAGATACGCTAAATTGGTGATTCCCACCTCACGAGGCTGAGGCCCCTCGGTACAGTCGTGAAAAGGAGACGATTTTATTTTGAACGAAATACCGAAAACATTGGCATTCCTTAGGATAAACCACTTAGATAATCTTTACATTCCAGCCCTGATTTTTAAAACCATCCCTGTCGCCTTCTGATTAAAGTTTACAAATTGTTTGAAGAATTTATGTAAAACTATGTGGCCCCTTTACCCCTTAAACCTGACCATATAAAAATATTTGGCCCCCTTTCCTCTTATGCCTGTCCATGTAAAAATATTTGACCTATTTATACCTTAAGCATGTTCATGTAAAAACATTTGGAACCTTTAACCCTTAAGCTTACCCATATACAAAATATTTGTACTCGTTTACCGTTAGATCTATCTATGTAAAGTACCCTTTACACTGCACGCATGCCCATGTAAAAATATGTTATACGTTATCCCTTAAGTTCGCATTCTGTACAAATATTTGTATTATGCATTTACCCCTTAAGCCTGCCTTGTAAAAATAGTATTTAGACTCTTTATCTTTTTGATTCTAATAACCAATTCAGATACAAGTTCGTTAAAGGTTGTGCAAAAATAATCATCCTGTATATTATTTACTAGACGTTCAACATTTTTTTAAATACTTTGACATTTTAGAGTGATAGCAATATAGAAAAAAAATTGACAAATATACGCAAACTAGAACAAATTCAAAAAAAACCACACCTACTAGAGCCATGGAAGTCATTCTTAGTCTCACTTCCTCACTTCCCTTGATATTTACATTAAGGAGGTTGCTATGATGATAATGACACGACAAGCTAACATGGACTCCATCTCACCGAGATATATCTTCTATAAGCCATATAAATTAAAAAAAAAAAACAAATAGAAGAGCTGGAAGTGGCAGATACATTCACAAGATTCAGGATGGGGAATATACTCCGTATCCTTAAACCTAAACATAAAATGGGCTGAGACCAATAGTGCTAGTATCGTTCAATCCGACCTCACGGAATTCTCATAGCAGCAAAAGAAGTTATCAGAAAAAATATCACTGGAAAGAACATGCTCATCTATACAGATAGCAGACTAGCACTACTCACCCTAGATTGAACACAAATTTACTCAGAGTTAGTACTAGAATGTCACAAATCTTTGGCCGAAGTATCCATCAACAACGTAGTCACCGTAAGGTGGGTCAAAGGTCATGCTACATCAAAAGGCAACCGTCTTGCTGATGACTAACCAAGAAGGCAGCAAACCAACTACTTTTCGGACCTGACCCTTCTACTGGACTGAGAACATGGGTAGTAACAGACCTAATTAAAAAACATTCTTATTTGTGAAGTCATGCCCCCTGTGAAGATTATAAACAAATTTTCGGAACCGAGTAAACCAAAAAATTTATCAAAATACTTTTTTACCCATAAATTAAGTTTCATGAAAGTGGGCCTTTGAGAACTTTATGAACTTGTATTGTATTTTAAAGAGTATTAAAGGTATTTTTGTACTACACTGGTCTTCGTAGGGTAAAGTGTAATCCTTAATAATGGATGAAAAATATCGAAGAGCTCTTCAGATTGTAACATTACTGGAAAATGGAGCAAGTCAACAGGATGTGGCGAGACAATTAAATGTCAGTCGTTCGACTGTGCAAAGAACACACCAACGGTTTCTTGTGACCGGCTCTTATCACCGGCGACCCTGTAAGGGTGCTAAAAAAAATAACAGCCGGGATGGATCGCTTTCTCACCATTGCTGCTTTACGAGATCGAACCCAAACCGCTAGAATGCTTCAAAGCAGTCTTCAGCAAGCTCATGGAACGGCAGTCAGCACTTCTACTGTTCGGCGAAGGTTAAGAGAAAGTGATTTGACAGCTTGCAGTCCAGCTACAGGACCCTTACTCACTGCAGTACACAAAAGACGCAGACTTGCTTTTGTTCGCGAACATATGAATTGAACAGTGGACGATTTGAAAAATGTACTGTTCGTGTAAGGTTTACAGAAGAGCTGGAGAACGTTATGCTACCTGTACTGTCACCTCGAGTTGCTTTTGGGGGTGGCTCAGTAATGTTTTGGGCAGGAATTTCTTTTGATGCGCACACGGATCTCGTTATTATTGATAGAGGCACATTAATATCACGATGATACATAAAAGAGATCCTAGAAGAGTAGTAATGCCATATGCTGGGTTTGTTGGCAATGGTTTTCTGCTAATGCAGGATAACGCGCGACCACACACAGCAAGGATGGTAACACAATACCTTGAAGAGGTTGGTATTCCCAAAATCAATTGGCCTCTTCTAAGCCCGGATCTTAATCCTATTGAGCATGTTTGGGACCAGCTCAAAAGGCGTGTAGTAAGACGTCGCATACCTGTTCCAACAACACGCGAAGAGCTTCGGTTGGCCTTAATGAGGAATGGGCCACTTTTCATCAAGCAAACATTCAGACCTTGTTGATTTTTGTGTCAAATCGATTGAGGAGTGTCATCCAGAATCGGAGTGGCAATAGGCCGTATTAAAAAGTGATCCTCGCCATTTATTGCCTCTTTAATTTTATTATTGCAAAGTAAACTGTAACTGTAATTTTTCATAAATTTTTTAGGTTGTCCGTTTTCTCTGACGCGCAGTGTAGTTGAACGATCTGAAAATATTTCAGTTGTCTGTATAAACGGTCGCTCATTCTTAATCGATAAAACTTGAAAGGAAGGATACTGAGTTCGTCAACAGGACGCCTACTTCCTATATCACTATCACACAGCTAAATAACAAGGATGTTATCACAGCAAAGATAACTGGTCAAGGTTCGTTTCGTGCATACCCTTTTTGTACACTTACCAATTTTTTTTATTCTCGATTCGTACATTTCATAAAAATGTTTGGGATTGAATATTTGTTTTGTACACTCACTGGGTGGTATGCATAAAAACGTACAACCGGGACTGGTTGGCTACAGGAATAAGTTGACACATTCTATTTCTCTCACTAGTGTGCATGTGTATTATGTAACCCAATATACCAATACAAAGGAAAGAGAACAACTACTGGTAACTATAGGTATAAACGTCGGAACTCAAAAATTGCTTTGGGTGCCCGGCCTCTATGTGGGAAATGAGGACTATCAGAGCCAATTTTGGGCACCCCCAGGTCATTTACGAAAAACCGCTTGGAACCGTCAATTTTTGAAATATTCTGGGATTTGAATCGGACCTATAACGACAGTTGTGACGATTTACCGTACCATTTAGAAAAAAGTGCATTCATCTGAAAAACACATTGAAAAGAATTTTTTGATCATTAATTGCCCGTTCAGTCATAATTTCACAAAATTGTAATCGCCTATCA